CTGTTACACCAAATACACAAAATAATGATCTTTAAAATAGCATCATATGACCCCTTTAAGAATATATATTAAAAAGTTTCTAGATTCAGTGTATAAACTTTTTTTAAGTTTAGGTTTTACTTTAAAGTACATTTTAAATCATTATGTTTTAATAATATTTTGTCATGCCTTAAAGAAGTATACACGTTTTTATATGCGTTGACTAACATACTAAAGCACATGTAAAGTACTTCATTATAATTTGAACTGTATATTACATTTAAAGTTCCTATATTAATTGTACTAAATTGCAACTTCATCAATACAAATGTGAAATTACAAATATATTTAAGTATGACACACATTTCAACAGAAATGACAATAAAGTATATTTTAGTTTAACAAATGCTCGTCAGTCAAAAATGCACTCTAAAGTTCAGCTAATTGCATTTAATATAAATTGAAACTATGATGCATTTATTTAATTGTAATGACATGCAGTTAAATGTCTGAAAACATTAGATTCAGTTTGCACTGAAGTATATTTGAAGTATTTTATTTCCATAACAAGTACTGTTTCGCAAATGTGAAATTACAAATATATTTAAGTATGACACACATTTCAACAGAAATGACAATAAAGTATATTTTAGTTTAACAAATGCTCGTCAGTCAAAAATGCACTCTAAAGTTCAGCTAATTGCATTTAATATAAATTGAAACTATGATGCATTTATTTAATTGTAATGACATGCAGTTAAATGTCTGAAAACATTAGATTCAGTTTGCACTGAAGTATATTCTTTTAAAGTATTTTATTTCCATAACAAGTACTGTTTCGTAAATTTAGCTAAAGTGTACTTATTTTTCACAAGGATAGTTTTATATGTGAAACTAGTATAATGTTATAAACAAGGTTTATGATATCCAAAGTCCTTAAGGTTAACTTAATTTTTTTCTTTCTTTTTGTTCAGGCTTTGTAATGGACAACCATCTAAACCGACACACGTTTGGCTTCATCCAGAGCCGGCTCTTCCCGTTTTACCTGCATATCGGCTCAGCCTGCGCTTTCTTCAACCTCACCATCTTTGCCATGTACCATCCTAGTAACATGCTGGATGACAAAGAGTCCTTCCAGGTATTTAGAACATACTGTATTGCTCCCAGATATGGTGAAAAGATCCAAAAATTACAAACGACCGTCATGTCATTCCAAACCGGTATTTTAAAAAATGTGCTTGTGGTTCTGGACTTGAGCGGTCCATATGACTTGAGCAGTTTATAAAATCTTCTGAAGTCATTATGATAGTTTTTGGGTGAGAGACACCCCTAAATTTTTATCAACTGACAGCTTCCCTTCAGCTTTATGTGAGCTGAGAACCAGTGTGAATGAATATTTGAATCAGTGGATTGAATTGATTTTTGAATCAGATAAAAAAAAAAAAAAAGACTTCATGAATCGAGCATCTCTACTTCTCTTATGAATGCACAAATTTTGAAGAAATAGTTCACGCAAAAAGGAAAATTTGCTAAATATTTTACTCACCCTCTGGCCATCCAAGATGTAGATGAGTTTGTTACTTCATCTGAACAGATTTGAAGAAATTTAGCTTTACATCACTTGCTCACCAGAGGATTCTCTGCAGTGAATGGGTGCCGTCAGAATGAGAGTCTAAACAGCTGATAAAAACATCACAATAATCCACAAATAATCCACCAGTCCAATCTATCAAATAAAGTTCATCAGTGTGTTTTTAACTTCAAACCCTTGCTTGTAAGCTCCAGTCCACATTCATTATAATTACATGGAAAAATGTGACCAACACATTCTTCAAATTAGTTATTTTTTTGTTAAATGGACGAAAGAAAGCCATAGAGTTTTGGAACAACACAAGAGTAAAAAGAGTATGATTTTTGGGTGAACTAACCTTTTCACCTTTATGTAAGTTGACAGACTTGATTCCACCAGCTTTCTGTTTTTTCCCTAGATCTTCATTTTTTTCGTCTGTGTGACTGTGGCGGCAGTGAATGCCCAGTGGTTTGGTCAGATGACCTCGGAAATCATGGCAGACATGCACCTGATTGAGCAGGCCTGTGGATTGGGTCAGGACATCGGACTCTCGTCCAATCGGGAAGCGTACGCCAAGCTCTGCGAGACAGACCCCAAGTATAAAAAGCTGAGTGGTCGGCTGTGGCTGTATCACCTGCTGTCCTCACTTTGTAACCTCTGCTGTATCGTATGTAATGTATACAGCCTGTATTACCTGGCAGAAAACCTCACCACACTCTGATGACCTTACTGCAACATAGTGGAGTTATGCTCCCACAATGTAGTGCAAACCCTTGGTTAACGTCTGTGTGACAGCGATGACCTGCTCTCAGGTACTGGATTACCTCCTGACAAATCTGGTTATTATTGCTATGGATTGTCTTTTTCAATCTTTGTTGTGCTAGTTTTAGTTTAGACATATGATGTATAGAGTATTTTTTGTAAATGTTACAGATCATGGCTGTGCATATTTAAATGATACAATGTTACACTTTGCATGGTTGAGAAAAAACTGATATGCAAGTTTAAATGAACAAAAATGGGAAGTGGAAGGGATATTTTGAAAACTTTTCTTGACGTTCTAGAAATTATGGCACATATTTTCTGTTTTCTCAATGAAGGCAACCTCACTCTGTCACAAAGTAGTCAAATTATTTGATTTCTCTGTTTCAACGGCCAGCCTCACCCTGTTCTCCTGGATTGGGTGTGAATGTATCGACATGTCTGTGCACAATCTCTCATTATAAGTACACTTCCACATTTTAACAGGGATGAATATGCAAATTATGCTCTCATGTGGCTGTAGATTTAGAATTCTGTTGCTGTTTGTTGAAATGGAGTTTAAATTAAATGCACCCAGCACCAGTTGCACCACAAAATGGAGTTGCGCATGTTATACAAGTATTTTTTTAGTGACTCACAAACACATATTCTTGTTTTATACTGATTGACAATGTATATAGTGTAGTATTTAATCAGTGCACTGCATACAGATAATGTGTGATAATGTGATAATGTGTGCCTAATATATAATATATTCTAATGTAAAAAATATATATATATAATTTTAATTAAATATAACATTAATATCAAATGTGTTTTATATATATATATATATATTTTATATAATTCACACTATTACTGTTATTCACACATTCACACTATTACTGTTATTCACATTTATATACTTCTGTTCAAAAGTTTGGGGTCAGTTTTTTGGGCCCCCTTTTGAAAGAAATGAATACTTTTTTTTTGTTCAGCAAGAATGCATTAATCCAATCAAAATGATGTCAAACGATTAATCGTGATTAATTGCATCCAAAATAAAAGTTTTTGTTTACATAATATATGTGTGTGTACTGTGTATATTTATTTTGTATATATAAATACATACACATGCATGGATATATTTAAGAAAACTGTTACGTTTATATATTTAATATATTTATATATAATATAAATGATATGAAGTTAAATATATACATGTAAATATTTTCAAAATATATGCTGTATGTCTGTGTCTTTATATATACATAATAAATATACATAGTATGCACATATTATGCAAACAAAAACTTGTATTTTGAATGCAATTACTCGCGATTAATTGTTTGACAGCACTACTATAAACACATGTATAATGTTGCAAAACATTTCTATGTAAAAAAAAAAGCTGTTCTTTTGAACTTTTTATTAATCAAAGAAGTATGGAAAAATAGTCACGGTTTCCACAAAAATACTGGCACAATTCTTTTCAACATGGATAGTAAGAATTTTTTGAGCACCAAATCAGCATATTAGAATGATTTCTAAAGGATCATGTGAGCCTTCACTGGAATACATTTAATTTTTAAATATATTAAAATAGAAAACATTTATTTTAAATTGTTTTATTGCACTCTTAAATCAAATAAATGCAGCCTTGTTGAGCATAATAGAAGATGTTTCAAAAACATGAAAAATATTACACACCCCGAACTTTTGCACAGAATATTTATGTCAGCCTGGGTCATGAATTATGCTCAATATTTTAAATTGTGGCATTATGTTATTCAAATATACTGGTAAGACATTTACAGATGTACTCTATCTGAATCCATCAAACTGACCTTTGTTGTGACAGATTCAACACAAACCAGTTTATGTCCTGTTTGACCACTTTTGCACTCTGTGACTTTTGCAGATGTTAAGCAACAACAAACCAGACTACCTGGGTGTACATGACACATTGTGTGCTTCGCAGTCATTTTATTTGTCAAACACATGCGATGTGCCTAACTAATGTGTTAGTCATATAAAATTATGTGTATTCAGATATAAAGCACCATATTGTTATAATGGCAACACCTTACTTTGGAATGTAGCTTCTGTTTTCAGTCGCCTTACACATTGTGCTGTCTGTCCATCATATTTGTGTATATTCATATCAGTAACAGTACAGTGCCTTGAATGGAGATATCTTTCAGTTTTGATACTGTATGACTGTGTCCAGTAAGATGCTGGTGAGGCTTTGGGTTTGTCCCTGTAATTAGGGATTGACTATATTTTATCAATGCAAATGAACCGGCAGCCAGAGACTTTGTTAATGGTTATATTTACTATATTTAACTTAAAATATAATCTAGTAAAACATATGGTCAAAAGAATGAAATGCATAGATTTGTGCTTAATACTGTGTTATTGAAGTTCCATCAGTTTTTATCTGAAGTTTCATTCCTGTCTGCATACGGTGCTGTGAAAAAAGTTTTTGCCCCCGTCCTGTTTTTTTTAATTGTTTGAATATTTGTCACACTTAAAAGATTCAGATCATCAAACTAATTTTAATATTACACAAAGATAACCTGAGTA